ACTGCTGGTCAATGATAGCTCTGTTTGTAAGAGTCTTTCACTTGTGGCATGCAAATACCATATTTTGAATATCACCAACAAGCGTCTCCTGGGACAAGGAACAAGTGTCAAGTGTGCATGACAGTCTTCATGGCTGCACACAACCTATACCTTTAAGCTCTTTTCAACTTTGGTTCCTGAGCGATTTTTTTTTTATTAAAAAAAATTGTTTGCATAAAGTGCTGCTCCAGTAGACTAAACAAATGGAATGGCATGGAGACTTAGGTTATAGGTAGAAGTGCCAAAGTATACAGTATTGAAGCTCTAGTAAAGAAAGAAGGCTAAGCCAATATTTTGGAGAAATAATATTGCCTATTTTCTGCTGTAGCATTAATACGTTTTTAACGGGATTAAAACAGCTCCATTGGCATCCCTAGTATTGCCAAGCACAGTTCAAGGTGCTGCTGCTTGGGACTAGGATATCTCAAATCATCAATTCAGACTACCCCATATTTTCAGATCTTCTGCTAAGACCTATTCTCAAGCCCCTCCCCACCTACTGCCTTGGTGGAGAGCCTGTGCCCCTCAGCTACCATAGCCAGTAGTTGCAAGTGATGGGAGTTAGTTTATTTGGAGAACCACAGGACCCAATTCTTGAGCAGCCTCACATGCAGCTATTTGGACAGTACACCAAGGACTCCGAGTCTCCAGCTTGCCTTGCCATCTCCTGTGAGCCTGGAGGTCATGAGAAGAAATTGTCCCAGACCTCAAGTAAACCACACAGGACAACTTGTTTATCAAGCATCTATTCCAATTAGTTTGCAGTGTGGATAGACGATGTTGGAATCAAAGCAAGAGGGTTATCCTATGCATTTCCCCATCACTTTCCTTACTGCAAAAAGCTCAGTCTTTGGGAGAAGTGGATTTGTTGAGCAAGACCTTCCGCTCAACTATAATTGCATGACCTGAATTTGCTGGTACGTGATTGAATCCAGAAGCAGTCTGGGAGTGCCCACAGATCCCTAGTTAGGCAGAGAGCATGTTCCACTTTGTCACCCCCCATAATTGAGTTTCAAAGAGATTACGAGGAGCCATTATGGACATTCTTTAAATGTTCACTCACACAGCCTAGCACCCTGTGAAGAGATTAAAGCAAGTGCTGGGTTCTTGCCATGTAGTTAAAGTTACCAGCAAATTTCCAAATATGTCTGCATTCATTTTATACATATTATTCCCAAGATAGCCCTGAGCCAGCCAGCATTCACAAAGGCGGTATAGTCTTTATTACACCCATTCTTTAACGTGATAATTTTTTGCAAGTCTTTTTTTCTTTCTTACTGAGCATTTGTATATCGTGGGTGACCAAAGTTCTCTTGTAAAACGACTGGAGAGCTAACAGTATAATTTTCACAATGGATATTTAACATTTATAGCCAGATGTCCTACGTGAAAGTGACCTGGCAGCTGTGATTACTTTCTCTCACTAAGTAAATGACAGACATTATCTGTAACCAGATCTGTGTTTTGATTGATAAAGTTCCAGAAATAGCAGCTAGCTGCTCAACTATAAGCCCAATACGATTCAAAAGATAACCCTGGAAAATAAGTTTACTAGTCTAAATGCTACAGTGGGGAAAGAGGAACTCCTAATACTAGAGAAAACTAGCAGTTTCATGCTTGTACCCCGAACTGTGGGTCCAGAACATAAGCCATCATCCTGACTGCTCCAAGCATCTCTTCCACATCCTGAGGCCTTACCAATTGAAACTCATCCAACACAATAGAACCGGACACCCCTTGAGAGTCCTCTCCTGTAACAGTGCAGTCAAGATGCCAGTGAATGCAACAATTTTATCCTCAAAATGTTTTACAAACCAGTCACAAGTTACCATTGGTTCTGCCAACCTTATGTTTGCATGTATATTGGAAGATATACAAGGACAAACCAACTTTAAAAACAGGTAAGCATAACATTAGGGACGCGGATATCGCTGTGGTCTAAACCACTGAGCCTAGGGCTTGCTGATTGGAAGGCCAGCGGCTCAAATCCCTGCGACAGGGTGAGTTCCCGTTGCTTGGTCCCAGCTCCTGCCAACCTAGCAGTTTGAAAGAATGTCAAAGGGCAAGTAAATAAATAGGTACCGCTCCGGCAGGAAGGTAAACGGTATTTCTGTGCGCTGCTCTGGTTTCGCCAGAAGCGGCTTAGTCATGCTGGCCACATGAAAAACTGTCTGTGGACAAACGTCAGCTCCCTCGGCCAGTAAAGCGAGATGAGCACCACAACCCCAGAGTTGTCTGCGACTGGACTTAACGGTCAGGGGTCCCTTTACCTTTACCTTTAAGCATAACATTTATAAAAATAAAGATGATAGATAGATAGATAAAACCAGCATTTTAAAACACATCTGCACAATAACATTACCTGTCTGGCTGATCTTGCCAAAACAAAAAAGTTTTCAGCAGGTGCCAATGAAGGTGCCTTAATATTAAAAGCTGGGGGGTTCTAGTGAGTAGCCACTGCCACTCAAAAGGTTCGGTTCCTTACAGGTATGGAATGAATATCATGTGGCACTTGTAAAAGTGCCAGTTTCACAGATTGAAGCATTTGAGTGGGCTCATGTGGGACTCAAGGTGATCCCTCCAAGTAAAGTGGTCCCAAGCTGTTACATGCTTTTATATACTAACAGAGCAACTTGAATCTGGCCTGTTAAGAAACCTTACAGAACAAATATAGGAGCTTATTTTTCATTGTGATGCAAAAGAAAACCGAAAAACAGTTCTTCATAAGAATGTTGTGATCTTCATGGTAAAGAATGAATTCCCAAGCCAGACATCCTTCCAAAGCAATATGCCACATTATTTGTCCACCGAGTTTGAGATTTATTTGCTCTGAAGGAGTTTTGGAAGAAAACGGCTAGGAAAGACAGTGATGAGATGAGAAGCTTAAGGATTAATGGGTTTATCCCCCATGATGTAATCTTACTCCAATGGCTATTGCCCATCCTCCCCCTTGTAATTACACCACACATTCCAAGAGACACCCCCCACCAAAAAAAGCCTAATGCACTTCTCTTAAGTTGTATGTAAATGTGCATTTCTCTGAGGTTTAATTCAGCTGCTGCCAAAACATATGTGCCCACAGGAAGACTTTAAGAACTCCATGGGGGATAGAGATATAGAGAAACTGCAGTAGAACATGTTGGCTGCTGTCCATATTACAACACCACACTGAGAACTATTCCAGATGGAGAGGAATTCCAAAGGAGTTCAGACCCGCTGTCGAATGACAAGGCAGTGTATCAAACCAGAGATTAGGGCTGGAGAGATCCCGGAGCAGTTATTCCCCAGGGAATGACATAAAGTAGTCTACCAAAAGCATGCCATGGAGTATCACCAGATGCAAACACATAATCTGCATACCACAAACACACACTGGGGTTTGTTTAACACAGTGAGCCATGGCAACTACACTTTAGGATCTTTCCATCGTGCAGAGCAGCTGCACCAAACTCCATCCTGAAGAGCTTGGAAGAAGCTTGCTCTTGTGCTTATATTTTATGAACACCACGCAAATAAAGAAAGGGGGTGCAAATAAAGAAAAAGTGGGGGAAGTACGGTAGGTTTAGAGCTTAACACAGTATATAAGACAAGGAAAGGTTTCAGCTGAACTATGGGCAGGGTTCCCTCAGGCAGTCAAACTGGCATGCTCACACGCATTAAAAAATGACAACAATTTGCATAAAATGCATGTGCTAATTTATGTATAGATGCAAATCTAGACATTATTACTATAGTTTAAATGAAAACATACATCTTCATTTGTTTGTTTGTTATCCTGCCTCAGCAAACAGATACACGTTTTAAACACAGTAACATTTAAAAGCAAAAGCATTCTAAAATAGATCAAAACATTCTTAAGAGCAGTCACAGTTAAAAACCTTCCATCCATTGAGTGCGGTTGCCAGGAACAGTTTTCTTCAGCCACCAAATGCCTGGGTAAACAGGAAAGTTTCCACATTCTCCCCAAAATTTTATAATGATGGGAGTCAGGTGCATCCCATTATGGAGGGCATTCCAGGACTGGGGGAACACCACTGAAAAGGCACCGTCACAGGTCAACACCAACCGGGCAGACAGAGTGATCGCAGTGGGGAAAACTGTGACCACAATAACTATTATATTAACTACACCCAGTGCTTTTTTCCTGGCAGAACATGCCAGAGTGCAGTACTGCCACAAGAGTCCAGGGCTGCCCCTTGGCTGCTGCCAAGGAGAAGCAAGGATAGTACTGGGTGGTGGGAGATGGCACAGGAAGCAGATTGTGGCTCGCAATGTCCCTGCAGAGCAGAGGTGGTGGTATCAACAAGCAAGCTCAAGGTTTCTCCTCCTCACAGTTGCCATAAAACGAAGGGTCAGATGGAGCCTGGGTGAGCTGGTGGTTTCTGTGCTGCTGCTGCCCCAGAGCAGCAGAGCACAGGATGGCCTTTGGGGGCGGGGAAGTGCCCTCCTCCTTCTCCCACAGCCTGCAAGCAATGCACACATTGACACAGCAGCTCACCCTTCTTTTCCTTGCAATGGCAGCTTGGGGATGGACACAGCAGAGAGAGAGAGAGAGAGAGAGAGAGAGAGAGAGAGAGAGAGAGAAGCAATTGACTGTGTGACAGAACAGTACGTTTCTGAGCACAATTCAAAGTGTTGCTGTTGACCTTTAAAGCCCTAAACGGCCTCGGCCCAGTATACCTGAAGGAGCATCTCCACCCCCATCATTCTGCCCGGATGCTGAGGTCTGGCAGTTCCTTCTGGCGGTTCCCTCACTGCAAGAAGCAAAGCTACAGGGAACTAGGCAGAGGGCCTTTTCAGTAGTGGCACCTGCCCTGTGGAATGCTCTCCCATCAGATGTCAAAGAGATAAACAACTACCTGACATTTAGAAGACAACTGAAGGCAGCCCTGTTCAGGGAAGTTTTTAATGTGTGGCATTTTGATGTATTTTTAATCTTTGTTGGAAGCCGCCCAGAGTGGCTAGGGAAACCCAGTGAGATGGGTGGGGTACAAATAATAAATTATTATTATTATTATTATTATTATTATTATTGGGCAATTGACCGGGGAACAGCAGTGCATGCATGTGTGCAATGGGTCAAAGTTGAATCCAGGAGCCACTGACTGACCACCCAATGGCTTAGCCAGCTGCCCCCAAAGTGAGAGAGTGAGAGCGGGGGCGGGGGAGGAGTCTGACCTCAGGAGCCCTGCCGGCAGGAAAGGTGTCTCCCACACCCAAGCAGGCAAGTGATAGTGATGGCAACCCACAGGGGAGGCCTCTTCACCTGGGTAGCAGTGCCCCAGTAGGTGAGTGGGTGGGCAAGGGAATTTCAAGCAGCTAACCTGCTCCCTCTGCCACATGCTGGCCCCTCCCTGTGCCGGCTGGTGAGTACCAGCCCCTTTTCTCTCGAAAAAAAAGCACTCGTTACACCCCACGGTATTAATGGACAGCAGCAAGTTTTTGCTCTGGCTATACCATTTTATGTGTCTTTTAAAAAGGTTTAGCATGAACCACATGGTTGCTGAAACATTTCCCACACAAAACACAGATGTGAACTTTTAAACGAAGGAGAAAACACACACACACACAAACAAACAAACAATGCTTTCATTAACACATTCCTTAATATAAACATGGCAGGTATTGCTTTTTAAAAAACGTTCTTCCATTTTAAAATCCAAACATGATTCACAAAACATAGCTACTTTGGGGAGGGGGGACGAGTTATAATCACAAATGGCTGCTCACAGGGAAGGAAAAATTACCACCACCAAGGAAGTATAAATATGCATAGATGCTTTTTGTCTGCAGAACAGGGGGCACCTATTTTCTTTTAATGAGCCTCGGATATCAATGATTCCATTTAGAACCGATCATTTCAACATTTTGGAAACTTTGGCTGGGTAGCACTACTTCCCCCTCCCCCCCATTTTAAAATTTAAATAGCACAGAGGAGCCAGTGACTTTGGGAGGGTCTCCATGATTATAGCCAAGTCTTCCTCAGAGGAATTTTGACACCCTGTTAATTAGTCAATTTCGAGTAGGAGCTGGGCTCTTTCAGTGACTCCTATTCTGCCATCAGTAAAGTGTGATTTCCTAATAAATTTCCATCAAGCAAACTATTTCTAGTAACTCCCCCTAATTAACACCAGGTTGCTAATAATAAATTAGGCTCTATGTGTTTCTGATATAACCAAGATTCTTGTCTGAGCACAAGATATTAACGTCCCCAGAAAAGTAAAACTCCAGCCTAAATTAAGCCTGTGCTGGTTAAAAGGATTTATGTGCAGTCCTGTAAGAAAGGCTTTGAAGATCTTTAACACAGTACATTTCAACCAGAAACCTTTTTGACTGAAAGATTTGTTCTAGGTTGAGCAGTGAAAGGGGATTTATTGTGAAAACACACTGTTGAGTTTTAAGACTATAAATATTACACTAGATTACAGTTTCTTAATGAATGAATGACAGATCTCTTATTTTTGTTTCTTGGTGCATTTTAATGTTAAATTATATTGTTGGTTGACAGAAACCAACCCTCTGCTGTTAAAATGTCAAACCCAGCCTTGATGCCTTTAAGAGTTTGGCTTCTGGAGTTTAATATACTGTTTTGCAAATAGACTTGCATTTGTCTTTAATTGTAGCCTAAACAAATGCAGCAGGGGCAAGATTCCTGTAAAGCTGGCTGTAGCTTTTTATAGTCATATGCAGTGCTCCCCCTTTCCTTGTACAAACAAGGTAGAAAACAGCAGCACATTCACCTAGTCAAAAGATACCCAGCTCATAAGAATCTTATGAGGCTACTGTTATCACGAAGTAATTGACCATGTTACTATAGATGGTTAAGTATCCTAAGGTGAAATCAGAGAATGCTTTGTGCCAAGGCTAAATACAGTATCAGATAAACCCAGTCAGAGGAGATAGAATTGCAGTTCCTATGTACTCTCTCCAGTTTAGAGAGGACATCAGACATCTTTGCACACAACTCTGTCAAATACTCTGTTTTGCACCCAGGATTTGGGAAATTAAACAATAATTTTTTGCAAACAAAGTTTAAAGGGGTATGGGGCATCAAATTTAGATTTAAGCATGCTGGGGTCTTGTGAAAACACAGGTTGCATTCGCACAACCAAATCCTGGCTTAATTAAGATGGGAAATGCATGAGCTCCTTGCACTTGAAGGCAGGCTATTTATTCCCACTTTGCTCCTCCTTTTGCAGGAGTTGGAAAACAAGCTAGGAAGCTGCAATTAAACCACAGCTTCCCATTACATGCAGACTAGGAAACTTCCAAGCAAACCATGATATGAAGACATGGTTTAAAGTTGGCTTATGTATGCTGGCCTTAATGGAAGTTATCGTGTACTCCATGGATCTAATCATTCATTGATTTCAGTAGGTCTACTCCAGATATAAAGGAGTTGGATGTCATGCATGCCCTGGTTTATTAAGCCAGGTTTTGACAGTGTAAGCCAGATCACAGAGATGAGAATTTTTATAAATAAATGGGGGGGAGGATACACTGTAATTTCATGCCTTTTTTATTTATCATGTTGCTGACTTTGCTTTTTTGTAACAACTGGATCCAAAGACAACTGGATTTAGACAAGATGTTTAAAAAAGAGAAAACACGAGAGAGAGAAGCAACAAAGCAAAGCATAACATGCATATCACCAGAATCCATTGACTGGAGCAGAACAAAGCTGAACACAATGATCTGGGAAATCCAAGAGCTGTTTCTGTCTGTCTTGCTTCTGAATGTCATCACTCCCCGACTTCTGATAAATACTGAAGAAGACCAAAGAGCAACTAGTCCCAGATTTTGCTTTAGCTCTCTTACTACTGGAACTTTAAATATTCTGTTTGCAGATAACTGTGTACTGGCTTATTACAATATGCAAAAACGTTTTAGTGCAGCTAAGATTTTACTTTACTTAATGCCTGATGCTCATAAACAGTTTGGGTTTCAGCTCTGCCTTCTGAAACAAGCTATTTTCTAAGTGAATTGCTCCTAAACTTGCATACAAATGTCCTTCTCTCTGTTATTTTACTATGTTGTTGTTGTTGTTGTTGTTGTTAATAGCTGCTGGTACATTTGGAGACTACCACTTGGTGGAACTGCTTGATAAATTCTTGGCGTTGCCCACTAAGCCATTTTGAATATTATTTTTCAACTTGTAAGTTTCCCAGCCAATTGCCAGGTCGTGAACTTTGCCACATCATATATGTGTAGAGAATAAAGAAAACGACACATCTAAAAGAGTTTAGAGATACTGAATTAAAGTGCACTGCAAAAACCTTGGTCACTGCTATTAAAAGTATGGTAGGAAATATAACTTAAATTCCCATGGACTTTACTTGTCTCTTGAGTATATTTATATTTTTGGGTGGTCATAAGTGCTTGGCAGAGCTTACTAGATCCCAAGTTAATAATGAACCATGCTTTAAGGACTGTATCCAACTTAAGTTCTAGAACAGACCTACTGGAATAAGTTGGAAGGGACCCCGCAATGCAAGAACCTAAGTTAGTCATGTCTTTTTATTTCAGTGGGCCTGAGCTCAGTACAACTAATGTTGGCTATAACCCTTTGTTTCTATTTGTTTATAACAGAAACCAGTTTAACGCAAACAACTATTAACCAGGTGGGGTATGCAGCCACTTGGTCCAGCCAGCTAAACTGTCCTGCCATGTAGCAAGGACAGAACAATCAATAATGTGCACATGAACCAAAACAGGGGATTCTATTTTCTCATCCTATGTGATAATCTGCATCATGCTTGCTTCCAGGGTATGGAACACTGAGCAGGATTTGCCATGGCACAACAACATAGCCTAACATGTAGCTGAGAGAATCATGAGTCACCATTTTTGACTGGGGGAGTGGAAGCCAGGTGTGCAAGTATAAACTGGCATGTGGCCACTTACAAGTCAACGTTGGCCAAATAGCTTAAAAACCACATTCATTCTATGCTTCTGAAGTTTAAAAGCTAGAATACATAAACTTTATATACCACTTCACTGGAGTGAATAAAGCTGGAAGTGGAATATTTCATGCCCCACAGTCCAGTCTGTGAAGTCACACAATGTGACACAGCATTTCATAATTCAAAGCAACAGTTCTTTGTTTTGTAGTCATTCTTCAGAAGTGACTGAAAACCAAGGCAAGCACAGCTAAACTGGCTCCTATGATCAGCTGGAAAGGATTGATTTACTTTTACTTTAATTAAAAAACCACACACCCCAGTTTGGTAGCATGGCCCATTAATCTTCTATGTAGATTCCACAGAAGCTAACTTATTCTTTCAATGGAACACATAAAATGTATGTGCATAATCACACACTTATTAGTCTTGTTTGGATGACTTAACTATTACCCAGAGGTTGCAGACTAATTGTTTGCCCTTATTGGAATTTCCCAGCTCCTCTTATAGTAGGATATGCTTTAAAAACAGGTATGGGAACTTGTAATCTTCCCGAAGTTGTTGGACTCAAACACCTATCAGCTCCAGCCAGCTATCCCAAATGTGAGAATGATGGGAACTGAAGTCTAAAAACATCTGGATGGCGCTACTTTTGCATTACAGTAAAAATTATTTCCCTTCTTTCCACTTTCAAAGTGATAAATACTTTGCCTTGCATTTCATTACAAAATCATCTTCCTAACTCTGGAGAAACCAGAGGGATTGGCATGTGTAGAAAGAACGTCAACTAATTCATGTATCTATTTACAAATTATGGCAAGCAAGCAAGCAAGCAAGCAAGCAAGCACCTGTGTTAAAATGGTAAATCTATATAATTCACAATGTCCTAACACCACAAAATATTATGTTAATTTTTATTTGATTTACTATGCTCTAGTGCAGTGAGAGTATTGCATCTAAGAAAGCTGGCATTTTTTCATCCTTCACCCTTCCCTTTTCTGTTACACCAAAGAAGTGCACACAATAAATAAATATGTGCACACAATAAAGTAAAATTATATACAAGAAACTATAAGATGTGATCTTACGTAACTCAAATCAGACTTACCCCACCCCAATATTCATCAGTCATTTTCTAGAAACATTTATGACATTTTAAGAGCAGGTAAGTTGCATGTTCTTCATCTGCACTCATACAAGTTATACTCTGCATGGCCAAGTGTCTCATTAATTGGTTAATAACATGTTAACTCTTTCCCCCACATCTTTTAAGGGAGAAAATGAATGCAAAAAGGCAAATATTTATACAATGTGGGAGCTAAAAGAATTGGCTTAACACTGCTTAGTTTCAAATTTCCTAATTACCTACAATAATGAATACTCCCTTTTGTGCCAAACAGTTTCATGTTCTTGGTTATATTTCTGAAATGCATATGATACATACCAGTTAAACTGATTCATTATCTAAAATTGGCCCTCCTCCCTCTCTCTCCTACCTAAGAAGCAGCAACAAACCCACCTTTAGTTTACCACTAGTGGCACTTAAATACAAATGCAAGCTGAGCTACAAAATGTGTGATTGAAACAATATCGCCCTT